CAGACTACTTTGGGAGGCCGAGGCAGGCAGATCACTTGAGCCCAGGAGTTCAAGACTACCCTGGCCAACATAGTGAGACTCCATTCTCTACAAAAAAAAACTAGTTGAAATGAAAAAAGCCGGGCTGTGGCGGGCCGCCCCTGCAGTCTCAGCTACTTGAGAGGCTGAGGTGGAAGGATGGGCTTCCAGCCAGGAGGTCAAGGCGTAACAGTACGCCATGGACTGTTAGCGACGTGCACTCCAAACCTGGGGCAACACAGTGGACTCTGTCTCTAAAAAAAAAAACATTAGGGCCCGGGCGCGGTGGCTCAAGCCTGTAATCCCAGCACTTGTGGGAGGCGAGACGGGGCAGATCACGAGGTCAGGGAGATCAAGAGACCATCCTCGGCTAACATAGGTGGAAACCCCTGTCTCTTACGTAAAAAAAAAATACAACAAAACCTAGCCGGGCGAGTGGCGGGCGTCTGTGGCCCAGCCTACTCGGGAGGCTGAGGCAGCAGAGAATGGCATAAACCAGGAGGCAGAGCTTGCAGTGAGCTGAGATCCGGCCAGCACTGCGACTCCAGCCTGGGCGGCAGAGCCGAGACCCTCTCGTCTCAAAAAAAAAAAAAAAAAAAAAGGCCCGGGCGGCGGTGGGCTCCAAGCCTGTAATCCCAGCACTTTGGGGAGGCCGAGACGCGGCGGATCACGAGGGTCATGGAGATCGAGGACCATCCTGGCGAACACAGTGAAACCCCGTCTCTACTAAAAAATACAAAAAACTAGCCGGCGAGGAGGTGGCGGGCGCCTGTAGTCCCAGCTACTCGGGAGGCTGAGGCAGGAGAAATGGCGTAAATCCGGGAGGCGGAGCTTGCAGTGAGCCGAGATCCGGCCACTGCACTCCAGCCTGGGCGACAGAGCGAGACTCCGCCTCAAAAAAAAAAAAAAAAAAAAAAAAAAAAAAAAAAAAAAAAATTTTGACCAGGCGCGGTGGCTCACACCTGTAATCCCAACACTTTAGGAGGCCGAGATGGGCGGATCACTTGATGCCACAAAGTTCAAGACCAGCCTCAGGCAACATGGCAAAACCTAGTCTCTATAAAAAAAAAAAAAAAAAAAAAAAAAAAAAAAAAAATTAGCCAGGTAGAGGCTCGCTCCTGTAGTCTCCAGCTACTTGGGAGGTTGAGGTGGTGGGAGGGTGGCGCTTTTGCTCCGGAGGCAGAGATTCCAGTGAGCCAAGATCATGCCACTGGCACTCCAGCCTGGGTAACAAAGTGGAGACTCTGAATTAAAAAAAAAAAATTAAAAACTTTTTAAAAAACGCCGGGTGGCAGTAGCTCGCGCTTGTAATCTCAGGCACTTTGGGAGGCCGAGGCAGGTGGATCACGAAGTCAGGAAATCGAGACCATCCCTGGCTAACACGGTGAAAACCCCATCTCTCTAAAAACATACAAAAAAATTAGCCAGGCACGGTGGCGCGGCACATGTAGTCCCAGCTACTCGGGAGGCTGAGGCCAGGAGAATGGCGGGAACCCGGGAGGCAGAGCCTGCAGTGAGCTGAGTTTGCGCCACTGCACTCCAGCCGGGAAACAGAGCGACACTCCGTCTTAGAAAAAAAAATTTTTTTTAAACTTACAGGTGAACCTAGGGTGCTGCCAGGGTTAAGAACTGATTCTAGGCCAGGCACAGTGGCTCACACCTGTAACACCTGTAATCCCAGCACTTCGGGAGGGCAAGGCAGATGGTCAGGAGTTCCAGACCAGCCTGACCAATATAGTGAAACCCCGTCTCTACTACAAATACAAAAATTAGCCAGGCGTGGTGGCAGGCGTCTGTAATCCCAGCTACTTAGGAGACTGAGGCAGGAGAATTGCTTGAACCTGGGAGGCGGAGGTTGCAGTGAGCCGAGATGGTGCCACTGCACTCCAGCCTAGGCAACAGAGCAAGATTCCGTCTCAAAAAAATAACGAACTGATTCTACCAGTCAACCACTGGCCCCTTGAGGTCTTGCTTCCCTTGGCCCCCATAGCTTGGCTCCTCTGCTCTGCCCTCATCCTCCTTCCCTTCCGCCCTTGCCTGTCATCTCCATATTTTGAATCCCTCAGCCCCTCAGCATCCCTGTCATCTTGGGGCCTCTCCCTGGATGCCATGGGCCTATTACCTCCTTAGAAGCAAATCTCGATTCCCCAGACCCATCTATCTCCCTGATAAGTTCCAGACTGGAATTTCCACCGCCGACAGGACAGGCAGATCCACCTGCTCCACCCATACCAAGAACATACCCGCGCTGACTGTGCTCAGCACGTCTTCCCTTGAGCCAGCTGCTCCTCTCAGGCCAGGAACTCAGCATCATCATCACTCACCAAGTTCTATATGCTCTTCCCTTTTGGGCTCACTGCCACCCTCCTCGGGCATGGCACCCCTCCCAGAACCCAGTCCCCCACCACTAATGAAAGCTTTAGGCCATGCCAGCAAATAGACACCTTCATGACCAAGATGAACTGGTATAGAAGACAAGGGGATGTGGAGATTGGAGCAAACCAGAGAAAGCACACAGGAGAACACATGCCGTCTTGGGGAAGTTACATCCACTCAGCTTCAGCCAATTGTTGCTATGCGGAAACATGGACCTAAATCTCACAATTTCCCAAGCCATGCTAGAAATCTAGGTTTTAGTATGAAATCTCTTTGTTAAATTTAGGAGACTTAATTGTAAAACATTTTCAAAAAACTATCAGTGAGCTGCCAGTTTTCAATCTCTGCTTCTGAATAGCCGTTGGAAGACGTCTGTCACTTTTTCTTTTTTTTTTGAGACGGAGTTTCGCTGTTGTTGCCCAGGTTGGAGTGCAATGGTGCAATCTCAGCTCACCGCAACCTCCGCCTCCCAGGTTCGAGCGATTCTCCTGCCTCAGTCTCCCAAATAGCTAGGATTACAGGCATGCGCCACCATATCCAGCTAACTTTGTATTTTTAGTAGAGATGGGGTTTCTCCATGTTGGTCAGGATGGTCTCAAACTCCGGAACTCAGGTGATCCGCCCCCCTCGGCCTCCCAAAGTGCTGGGATTTCCGGAACTCAGGTGATCCACCCCACTGGGCCTTCCAAAGTGCTGGGATTGCAGGCGTGAGCCACCATGCCCAGCCTCCTCTGTCACTTTTATGGCCATCCTCTGCTCAAAGGAAAGAGCTGACACCTCCCTGCCCAGTCTCAAGGCCCCAGTCCACACTGTCTACAACTATCTACAGCCATCTTCATACCTAATGCCAAAAGAGGCTCCCCACATTAGTTAACCCTTGGAGTGATTCACTCTAAATTTGGCTGTAGAACACTAGAGACAAAGAAACACAAACACAACCCAGAAATAAGTTTCAGGCTCATCCCTCCCTTTCCCACCCAAGTCACCACCACTGCAGGAAACTTCCACTCCCTTCCCCTATCCCTCTCACCAGTTCCACACACCAGCCCACAGTCCAGGCCCGCTGGAGACTATCAGCATCCTGTTTCCTTGGCTCCACCAGCTCCCGGAACGCTACTACCACTGTCAAACCCCGGTGATACTTGCCTCCGATGGCATTGTACTCCAGGACCTGGAGGGCAAGGGAAGAGGGACAGGGTATCAGGGTACATACAGAAGCTACTATGAGTTTTCTCCTTGCTCTCTCCCATTTCCAACCACCCCCTAACTTTATCCTCCCCAACTCCTCTTCAAGGAGCCTCTGGAATTGCTACTGTCTTTACTCCTTTTCCAAATTTCTGGAGCAAAGCTAGAAGAGGTCCCAGTGCCCAGGTACGTTCTTTCTGCATGGTCTATCCTAGTAAATGTATTTATTTTTTTTTTATTTTTTATTTTTTTTTTTTGAGACGAAGTCTCACTCTGTTGCCTAGGCTGGAGTGCACTGGCACGATCTTGGCTCACTGCAACCTCCGTCTCCCGGGTTCATGCAATTCTCCTGCCTCAGCCTCTCGAGTAGCTGGGATTACAGGTGCCCACCACCATGCCCATCTAGTTTTTGTATTTTTAGTACAGACAGGGTTTCACCATGTTGGCCAGGCTTGTTTCGAACTACTGACCTCAAGTCATCTACCTGCCTCAGCCTCCCAATAAATTTAAAACCTCCATAGTGCAGATTAAATGCTGCTCCCAAGCCCAAACAGGGCTTGAACCCATGGAAAACTCAGTACACGCTATAGGGATGACTGGCTTGTTCAGTTCCCTCCCCAGGTTCCTTCCCCATCCCCACCTCTCCTAGACTTCCCCTTCCCAACCCATCCCTATTTTTCCAACCACCTCTGCCTACCCAGAGTTCAACCCTCCTGCAAATGAAAAGCCTCCTTCACTATATTAAGACAAAGCCTTGCCGGGCGCGGTGGCTCAAGCCTGTAATCCCAGCACTTTGGGAGGCCGAGACTGTCGGATCACCGAGGCAGGAGATCCGAGCAACCATCCCTGGCCCTAACACCGGTGAAACCTCGTACCTACTAAAAAATACAAAAAACTAGCTGGGCGAGGTGGCCGGGCCGCTCTGTAGTTCCAGCTACCCGGAGGCTGAGGCCAGGGAGAGGCGTAAGCCCGGGAGCGGAACTTTGCAGTGAGCTGAGATCCCGCACACTGCACTCCAGCCTGGAAGACAGAGCAAGACTGCTGTTCTCAAAAAAAAAAAAACAAAAGACAAGCCATCTCCAAAGTCGGCAAACGACAGCTACAGGGGACCGCCAAAGCTGTGGATCCATCCCCACTCCTCCAGTGGTGTCTCTTCTTGGCGTCTCACTTTACCTCTGCTCGCCCTGCTTTCTTTTTTTTTTTTTGAGACAGAGCGCTCGCTCTGTCGCCCAGTTCAGCCGGAGTGTTAGTGGCCAGATCTCAAGCTCACTGCAGGCTCCGCCTCCCGGGTTTACGCCATTCCCCCTGCTCAGCCCTCCCGAGTAGCTGGGACTACAGGCGCCCGCACCTCGCCGGCTACTTTTTTTTTTTTTGTATTTTTTTTTTTCGTAGAGACGGGGTTTCACCCGTGTTAGCCAGGATGGTCTGGATCATTCCTGACCTCGTGATCCTCCCGTCCTCGGCCTCCCAACAGTGTCTGGATTACAGGCGTGAGCCCACCCCGCCCGCAGCTCCCGCTTTCAATCAGACCTAACTAACAGGGAAGACTTCACCTCGCTATGTCACTCAGGCTGGAGTGTAGTGGTGCAATCGCGGCTCACTGCATCCTCTGCCTCCCAGGTTCAAGCGATTCTCCTGTCTCACCCTCCCGAGTAGCTGGGACTACATGTGCGCGCCAGTATGCCTGGCTAATTTTTGTGTTTTTAGTAGAGACGGGGTTTCACCATGTTGACCAGGCTGGCCTCGAACTCCTGACCTCATGATCCCCCCCGGCCTCAGCCTCCCAAAGTCCTGGGATTACAGGCATAAGCCACCATGCTGGGCCAAGACTCTCTTTTAATCCCCATCCCAGTATAGGCAAAGCCCCTCTTTCCCTTGATTCCCCTCAGATATATGAGATAGACAGCATTTATAAGAAGAATTTTAATAGATACTCCAGAATCAACAGGAAAAAAATTGGCAAGTATCACAGCAATAGTTCATGTCCTAGAATAAGGGCTTCTAATGATACAACTTTCTCAGGCCCCAGGGAGATAGGACAATATCAGACTGTCTTCCTCCCAGGTCTCTGCCAAGGTATCAGCTTCTGATTTCAGGACACAAAATCTAAGACTTGCCAGGTTCAAGGCCTCCACCCCTATGCAAAGCAGTTTGGATGACCCACCTTCCATCAGAGCCAAAAGTCAGGTTTACGGACTGAGTAAGTATACTTGCCCAGGCCCCAACCCCTCCAGAGCAGACTCGAGTCCCTCAGGTAAATGCTTTCTCGGCCAGGCGCGGTGGCTTACGCCTGTAATCCTAGCACTTTGGGATCAAAGGCCGAGGTGGGTGGATCCCCTGAGGTCAGGAGTTCAAGACCAGCCTGACCAACACGGTGAAACCCCATCTCTACTAAAAATACAAAAATTTGCTGAGCATGGTGGCGTACGCCTATAATCCCAGCCAGTCAGAAGGCTGAGGCAGGAGAATCGCTTGAACCTGGGAGGTGGAGGTTGCAGTGAGCCAAGATCGCACCATTGCACTCCAGCCTGGGTGACAGAAAAAAAAAAAAAAGCTTTCTCTCACATCTGTCAAAAGTCCCTCATAAGCCACAGGTGAATCCCACATATACAGAGCAACCGAACCAAAGGCTCACTCCCCCAAGTCATGAATCCCTCACCTCCTTGAGCCGGGCAATAGCATCTCCTGTCTCTGGGTGCCCCATCTCATCCTCAGTCAGCACCCTAACGATCTGGGAGAAGTGCTGAACAAAATCTTGCTTTTCTTGGGCATAAACATCTGATTTCTGGTCTCCGTTCATTCTGAGGGAGGAGCAAAGGGCTCTGAGTAGAAGGAAAAACAAGTCAGAAACCTGATCAGCTGCTCCCCTCCCCAAGGCCCCTCACCCCAACCACACTCACCGAGGTTCCTCTGTCCACGCTTGGCACCAGCAGCGGGCACTGTGCCAGGCCAGGACTGGGTACCCGTGCACCAGGGAGGGCCGCCGTAGGGAACCCAGCCACCTCTCCCGGGGTGCCCAGTAGGGGGCTGGCAGCAGGAAGACCCCCACAGATCTCAACCAGCGGGACAGGGGCATCCTGGGAGTGGCATAGGGAGGGGGCGCCAAGCACTCCCTGCAGGAGCAAGCACCAAAGGCAGAGGCATGGTGGCAGCTACCCAGATAACTCCCATCCCAGCCTTAGCCCAGAGTGCCCCTCCCTCTTGTGGAATGTGCTTGGGGACAATAGCAAGAAGGATATGCAGGAAACAAAAAGTATGGCTGGGTGACGGAGACCCAACAAATCGCCACTTATAATAAACAGGCTAGAACTCAGTGCCTTCAAGACGGCGTGCACAAGGCTGGGTAAGGAGGTGGTACAGAGTACAGGATTAGGGGCTGAAAGGACCCTTAAGTCATCCTATTTTACACAAGCCAAACTGAGGCTCTAGGAGGTAGGAAGATAGTAGAGGCAGAGCCAAATCTAGAACCCAGGTCTCCCCTGGGCAATGGAGAGGGGTGCCCAGGGTCTGAGTTACGCCCCAAGGAGGGGAGAAGCACTGGGGCGAGAACCCATGGGTGCTGCGTCCATATTGTCCGGGGTGCTGGAACCGCGCATCCCAAGCCTCACAGGAATCGCTAGGACTGAGCAGACAGGCTCGCAGCAACTCTGGACGGGACAGAAGGGCTCGCAGCAAAGGAGTTAACCGGGGTCCGGGCATACTGGCGGTTCCAGAAAAACACAAGGGCAGAGTTTGGAAGTCTCCGCACCCCCAGAAGACCAGCCAGTCTAGCCCACCGACCTTCAAAACGGACGCAACAGGCTGGCCTTCTGATGCCTCACAGTATCGTTACAGAAGTAAGGCCCGGTATCGGCCCCCTTCCTCCAAGGCCCAGCACACATACTCTCTCACCTGTTCCCAGATGCGGATTCCTGCTCCGTTCCGCTCGTTGGCGGGTACTCCTGAAAGCAGAATCTGCTCAGTGCTCGGCTCTCTGGGTCGAGTAGTTCCCGCTCTCCCCAGGCTATGGGCGGAAACGTATAATTAGACTACAACTCCCAGAGTGCCCGCGGGAGGGACCGATAACGCGATCCTGCGTGGCCTGGCTGGGCGGAGACGAGCCGCGCTGATTGGCTGCTGGCCCTCGTGTGAGCATGGCGCACGGTGACGGACGACCAATGGAAGGGCTGAAGCCTAGAGGTCTAGGCTGGAGGCATCAGTGCTGGAAGCGAGCCAGGCTGGGAATGCCCGCGCTGTGGCTCTGGCTGCCTCTTACTCAACTTTAGTTTTCGTTGTCATCCTGGGCAGCTGATTGGCACGTTAGTAAAACGCAACACAACTAGCTTTCTCACTTATTGGTTCTCTAACTTTAGGCAAATCATTTAACATCTCTGATCCTCAGTGAACTTCCTTGAGACTAGCTTACCTCATTTGTTGAATGAGGGTAGTGATACCACGAGGTAATATGTGTAAAGTGCTTTAAGGGCTTAAGAAAAATGAGTCTTGGGCCGGGCACGGTGGCTCACGCCTGTAATCCCAGCACTTTGGGAGGCCAAGGAGGGTATATCATGAGGTCAGGAGTTCGAAACCAGCCTGACCAATGTGGTGAAACCGCGTCTCTCCTAAAAATACAAAAAAAAAAAAATTTAGTCAGGTGGCGCGCGCCTGTGATCCCAGCTACTCAAGAGGGCTGAGGCAGGAGAATCGCTTCAACGATTGTTGCAGTGAGGGAGGCGGAGGTTGCAGTGAGCGGAGATCGAGCGCACCACTGCACTCTAGCTGGCTACACTCTAGCTGGGGGCACAGAGCAAGACTCTGTATCAAAAAAAAAAAAAAAAAGAAAAGATGAGTCTTGGCCTGGCACAGTGGCTCATGGGCTCACACCTGTAATCCCAGCACTTTGGGAGGCCGAGCCGGGCGGATCACCTGAGGTCAGGAATCTGAGACCAGCCTGGTCAACATGGCAAAACCCCTTCTCTACTAAAAATACAAAAATTACCCAGGTGTGCTGGTGCGCGCCTGTAATTCCAGCTAGGCAACCTCCGCTTCCTGGGTTCAAGAGATTATCCTGGATTACAGGTGCCTGCCACTACGCCCAGCTAATTTTTGTGTTTTTAGTAGAGAGGGAGTTTCTCCAGGTTGGCCAGGCTGGTCTTGAACTCCTCACCTCAGGTGATCCAGCCACCTCGACCTCTGAAAGCGCTGGGATTACAAGAGTGAGCCACCGGGCCCGGCCAGTTATTTATTGATTATTGATTTATAATAATTATAAATGTATATTAATAATTGTATATTGTTAAATGTATATTTATAATAATTTATAATAATTATAAATATGATTGTGATTATTATAAAATAAATGTATTGATTATTGATTATAAGCTAAACAAGGGGTGGATTATTCATGCTTCCGCTTTGTAGACCATATAGAACCCTGATGTCGACACAGCATGTGGTAGGAGTGTAGCCTTGAAGACGACCACAGGTCTCTCTAGTTACCATCTTGGTTTTGGTGGGTTTTGGCCAGTTTCTTTACTGCAATCTGTTTTAACAGCAAGGTCTTTATGATTTGTATCTTGAGCCAATTTCCTATCTCATCCCGTGACTTAGAATGCCTAAACCAACTGGAAATGCAGCCCATTAGGTCTCAGCATTATTTTACCCAGTCCCTATTCAAGATGGAGTTGCTCTCGTTCACACGCCTCGACAATTATGCTAAGTGAAATAAGCCAGACTCAAAAGGACAGATACTGTATGATTCCGTGTATATGAGGTACTGTCACCAGTGGAGAGTGTCCAGGTTCTTGGCATCTTGAACAAAGAACTGGGGCACAATGGCTCACGCCTGTAATCCCAGCGCTTTGGGAGGCCAAGGCGGGCAGATCACGAGGTCAGGAGTTCAAGACCAGCCTGGCCAACATAGTGAAACCCCGTCTCTACTAAAAAATCCAAAATTAGCCCAGCATGGTGGTGCACACCGGTAGTCCCAGCTACTCAGGAAGCTGAGGCAGGAGAATCACTTGAACTCGGGAGGTGGAGGTTGTGGTGAACTGAGATCACTCTGCTGCACTCCAACCTAGACAACAGAGTGAGACTCCGTCTCAAAAAAAAAAAAAAAAAAAACTGGACAAAACACATGAATAAAGGAAAGAAGGAATGAAGGAATTTATTGAAAATGAAAGAACACTTCACAGTGTGGGAGCAGGCCCGAGCATAGGTGCTCAAAGGCCCCATTGCAGAATTTTAGGGAGTTTAAATACCCTCTACTTAGAGTATGCCCTATGTAAATGGAGAGGATGAAGTAAAGTTACAAAGTCATTTACTTGGCCTAGGCCCTATGGAGAGGATATTTCCTGTCATAGCTGAAGTGTGAATCGGCCTTATGTTCCCTGCCTCCAGACCCTGTTTTCCTGCCTCAGTACCTTATAAGGTACCTAGAATAATCAAATTCATAGTAACAGAAAGTAGAATGGTGGTTTCCTGGGGCTAATGGGAGAGGGAATGAGGAGTTATTGTTTCATGAGTACAGAGTTTCATCTGAGAAGTTGAAAAAAATTCTGTAGATGGGTGGTGATAATGGCTGCACAACAATGTGAATGTACTTAACGCCACTTAGCTGTACAGTAAATGGTTAAAGTGGTCAATTTCACTTACAGGACAGGCACAGTGGCTCACGCCTGTAAGCTTAGCATTTTGGGAGGCTGAGGGGAGAGGATCACTTGAGCCCAGAAATTTGGGGTTGTGCCCAGAAGCTATGATAGTGCCACTGCACTCCAACCTGGGCAACAGAGAGTGACCTTTCTCAAAAAAAATGTGTCTTTTGCTGGGCGCAGTGGTCACCACCTGTAATCAGCCTTGTGGGAGGCCGAGGTGGGCAGATCACCTGAGGTCAGGAGTTCGAGTCCCAGCATGACCAATATGGCAAACCCCGTCTCTACTAAACTACAAAAAAGGCCACGGGCATGGTGATGGGTGACTGTAATTCCCAACTACCTAAGAGTGCTGAGGCAGGGAATCACTTGAACCCGGGGCAGAGGTTGCAATGGCCAAGATCGACCCTCTGCACTCCAGCTGGCGACAGGAGCAAGAACCTAGTTGTCTTCTGTCTCAAAAAAAAAAAAAAAAAAAAAATTACTTATGTATATTTTACCATACATATTTTTTAATTATGTAAATTTTACCTAATTTTAAAAATTAAAAATCTTGTGCATACGCCAGAAAGGGAATTAGAGGGAGGTCCAGCAAAGTGTCATTCCACACATGAATAAATTATAGCAGGTCAATGATGGCTAACACCTGAACCCCAGTGTTTACTGCAGCCTCTCTCTCTGCTCCAGCAAGAGATTTCCTGCCTCAGCCTCCAATGCTGGATTCAGGCTACCCAGCCACACCCCGGTAATTTTGTAATTTTTTTTTTTTTTTAGTAGGAGATGGGTTTTCCCATGTTGGTCCAGGCTGGTCTTAATCCGCGACTAGGTATCTGGCCACCTCTTGCCTCCCAAATGCCCTGGGATTACAGGCGTGGAGCCACCGTGCCTGGACGTGTTTTTTTTTTTTTTTTTTGAAAGATCTCTCTCTGTTGCCATTGCCCCAGGCTGGAGTGTAGTGGTGCAATCTCGGCTCACTGCAACCTTCTGCCTCCCGGTTCAAACAATTCTCCCTGCCTCAGCCTCCTGAGTAGGCCGGGTTACAGCTGTGCCACCTGCCCGGCTAATTTTTGTATTTTTAGTATGAGAGGGTTTCACCATGTTTGGCCAGGCTGGTCTTGAACTCCTGACTCAGCTGATCCACCCCTCTCGCTTCCAAAGTGCTGGATTAAGGCTGATCTCAACTCCTGACTTAAATGTCCACCCACCTCGGCCTCCTAGGGTGCTGAGACTACAGATGTGCACTACTACACCTAGCTAATTTTTAAGTCAGCTTAGCCACCATGCCCAGCCTTAATTCAATTTTGACACTATTTACTTGGAGCTATCACAGACCACATAGGTTAAGGTCTCAGTCCTGAGAGAACTTCCCCTACCCACTTCAGATAAATTGCAAGTCCTTTAGCCGGGTGTGGTGGCTCACACCTGACCAGCACTGTGGGAATCCAAGGCCGGTGGATCACAAGGTCAGGAGTTCGAGACCAGCCTGGTTAACATAGTGAAGAAAGTGAAATGGGCCATGCTTCCATTGAAAATATCAAAACTTAGCCCGGCCCTCTGATGGGTGGTCTGCTTAATCCTCAACGCCTAGCTCAGGTACACGAGGCAGGAGAATCGAGCCGTTGACCTCGCGGTGGAAAGTTGCAAGTGAGCTGAGATCCACCCACCGCATCTCCCAGCCTCGGACCGAGGAAACTACAGACGCGAGACTCACCACTAACCTGAGGTCTCCCTCTCTATATCGATGCTGATAGCTCAGCGAGCAGAGAGAGCGCGCAAGTCACCCACTAAGCTCCTCGTGTATACAAGCGCGATCGCCAGCCTCCCACAAGGAAACGACCATAAGACTGGGCTAAGATATCGACGATCTTTGAGATGCGCGGAGTGGTCTGCCTCCCAGTAAACTGTTATTCGCGCAGAGACACTTTTCTTGTTCTTCCTTTCTTTCCTTTGTCTTTCTCCTTGAAGACA